CAACTGCTGCGCCACCGGGGAGGCCCAATTCTGAATATGTTTTAACCTACTCAGGATTATTTGGAAGGAGTGCTTGCTATAGTTTTATAGTAACTCATATTTCATTATGAGTCTGAGTGTAGGTACTGGCATTTTGTTTATTTATTTTTTTTTATTTCTAAGACTGACCTTGAGGTTGTCCTCTTGAAGGGACAAAAATTTCTTTCAATCTTACTGGTCTAACCTCATGGAATGAATTTTCTCTGTAAGATAATGCTCATGATTGCCAAGCAGCCAAAGTTTAGTTGATTTTAGCTCTCATATATATCTTAACCCATATTTTATTTCAGGATACAAAAAATAGGTTTACTATAGTGAACCTGTCAGGAAATAATAAATTGTATTAATAATTATAGATAGCTAATGAACCTTAATACTACTATATATGTTAGCTCTAACACTAGGCTGTTGCTCTATCTTGATAACCAAAACTGTGTGTCATGATGTAACATCATACTAAAATGGGCACAAATTAACACAGGACACTTTTTATAAAAGCAGCCCCAAACCATGTTACTTTATATAAATGTATAAATAAATAAACAAACAAACAAACAAACAAACAAATAAATAAATAAATAGAAATGAATTGGAGGGGCCTCCCTGGTGGCGCAAGGGGTTAAGAGTCAGCACTATGAAGCTATCCTTAACTACTTGTACTGTAGCACAAGTTCAATCCCCAGTGAGGGAGCTCACTGGGCAGCAGACCTCTCCTGTCTCACCTGCTGCTCCCCTCAGCAGTGTATTTCAGTCACTCCGCCTGTTCTGTTCTCCACTTTGTCTCTGGTGAATCCTCTCACCCCTGTACCTCTGGCCTATACCCTAGTTCTTGTATGCATAAATCTTTAAAAAAAATGGGAATGGTCATCAGATCTTAGATATAGACCAAAAGATATATGTTTATATATTATTTTTAAAAAATGAAATGAAAAGATTTATTTTTAAACATCCTACAAAAATCTTTTTGGTATTATATTGACAAGTAGTGAAATTCTGCTTATCTATGAATTTGCTGTCATATTTTAATAATTTCAAACACTGAAAATGTAAGATCTGTTAATAGGATTGAATCTATTTTCCTTTTGACTAAATCTTTTATTGCCCCTTCTATCCCATACTCACTGCCATTATCCTTGTTACAAGTCTTCCAACCATCAGACAGTTGGTCATTTCCAGACTGAGCTAATTATAAAGTTTTCAAGAAATTTTTGATCTGGTTATTAAACATAACTAGTATTAAAAATTAAATTATTTAAATTTATAATGAAATACAGTATATTAAAACCAAGGTAATAAAGACAGAAAAGCTATCACTCACTAATTATTTCACATTTTATTAATATTTATGCTACCTAGTAATGACTATGCTGTTAGATATTGTACCTGAATGGTAGACATACTACAGGATGATATACAACTACTGTGTCGTCCTAACTCTCTTCAGTGACTTGATATTTGGTCCTTTTAAATTGGCCCTGGTGGGAATATTCACACCATAGAAATTGGCAAATGCCAGTCATTTTTTGTTTTTTTGTTTGTTTGTTTTTCCTGGAGAGGAGACTGTTGAGCTCCTGCCATCACACACCACCACTCCTGCCTGTGGTCTGTTAACTTGTAGTCTGTAGTCTCCCTGCTTCTAGATTCTCTCCCAACTATCTGTTTAGGCCAACCCACCGTGCTTAATTTTCCTAAGTGGGGAAAGTTGAATGAATAACATCAGAAGAATGTGGTAAAAGTTGTTTTTTCCATTTAGTAACAGGCGAGTTTTTAATATTTTGGAGCCTCCATTTCTTAGACCTTAAAATAGGACAAAGATCCCTCTTTGTTCTACCTAACAAGATTTTCAAATTAAAATCACCATGTGCTAATGTTTGTAAAAGTTCTTTGGAAAGTTCTAAATAAACATGATTTTTTTTTATTAATAGTAAGTACTTGCTTCACCTTTTCCCTTCTTGATTTAAGTTCACAAAGTTTCATAACCAATAGGATAGAGCTTATATCCTAAAATTGCTGTCTCCAATTTTCACAACCTCACTGACACCTTTTGTACTTCCAGTGTATATGTTGGATACTAGGATGGTGAGTGCCTTCACCTTCTCAAATGATGTCCACTGCAGACGCTGTATGAGCTTTGAACTTCTTTAACTGCTGTGTTCAGATTCTTCTCAACTATGTTGCTTCTTGTTCTCCAGGAAAAGTGTCAATAAATTTATTACGCTTTGTTAAGGTGTGAGGGCTCTTTTAAAAGATACAAATAAGGCCTCCCCGGTGGCACAGCGATTGAGCGCTGGGTTGTGAAGCTGCCTGCAGCCTCTGCAGTGCCAGTTCGATCCCCGGTCACCGGGTGAGGGTCCAACATGGCACGCAGACCTCTCCTGCCACGCCTGCTGCTCCCCTCAGCAGTGTACTTCGTCAGTCTGTCTGCTCTGCTCTCCCCTCTGGCTCTGGTGAATTCTCTCACCCTCCTGTACTTCTGACTGTACCCAGTGCTTGTATAAATAAATAAATCTTAAAAAAAATACAAATAGTGCAATTTAATGGGGAAAAAGTGACATACTAATTCATTGTCACTTGTTGATATTTTAGCAAAAAATGATTGATGAAATCACTGAGCTTTAGAGCTGGGCCCTGTTTCAGCTAAGTGTTTTTTTTTTTTTTTTTTTTTTTTTTGTCCAATAAGGTTTATTCAGTGGCATTTCTTTTGGATACATGATGCAATCAGTTCTCACTTTGATATGTTTATTCATAGATTAAAATCAAATCTTTAAATATGTCTTATAATACTAATTGTATTTACCACTAGCAACCTCTTTGAACTATAGATTGGGTGAGAAAAAATGAAAATTATTTTCTTTCTCTTATCTGGCTGATGGTATGAATGAAGATATGTGAATACACCAGCCCTTCAAACACTATCTCATGTGTTATTGGAGAGACTGGTTTTGCGGTACCTATAGTATGATTCCTTCTCCAATCAAATACATGAGAATTTCAATAATTTTGTTTTTTTATTCTTTTTATTTAAATTTTATTTTTATATTCCCCATACAATTACAACGCCCTTATTTTGACCCCAATCCCTCCTTTCCCTGCCCCCCATCCCCCATAGAGTGTCTCTGGTTCATAGTTGTTTGTTGATTTTGATATTTTCTTTCTTATCGTTATTCTTTTTCCTGGCCCCTTATTTAAGTTTTCTAGATTTCTGCTATGAGTGAAACCATCCACTATTTTTCTTTTTCTTTCTGGCTTATTTTGCTGAGCATGATCCCTTCCAGCTCCATCCATGTTGCTGCAAATTGCATGTGTTTATCTTTTTTGAATGCTGAGTAATATTCCATAGTGTATAGTCACATCTTCTTGATCCAGTCATCTGTTTTTGGGCATTTGGGTTGTTTCCAAATGTTTCAGCTAAGTTTTAAAGAAGGATGCATTGTGGAGACATGGGGAACATAGGCAAGGTGCCTACAGAGGAAGCTAGAGACCAAACAAGTGTTAATAAGAATCTGAACCCTTGGAGTTTTGGTAAAAGTAGATATGGGGGTCTTCTACAAAGCTTTTCCCTGAAACAATGTTAACAAGTTTGCATTTGGCTCAGCATTTTCCTTTTGCTAGAATATTTTTCCTATTAGTTTAGTTTGCCTCTCAGATGTTGTTGATACATTGGCTTTTGATATTTTGTGGCTAATGTGTATTTTGATATATTGCCAAAGTCTCAATGACACCAACTTTCAGAACTCTCTTAAGAAAAAAAATATTTTAATGGGAAAAGTATTTGGTTGGGAATCACTAATTCCAAGTTCAATTCCTTTCATCGATAAATATAAGAAATTTCTCTGTATGATTTGTTTCACAAGTTTCCACCCTCCTTCCTCTTCCTTTCCTTTTTTTCTTCAACTTCTTTTTAGATTTTCATATCTTTGTGAAGATTATTTTACCTATCCATACTGGTTAGAAACAGTGTATTTGAAAATAACTGGTACATTTCTGCCTAATTATTTACCTTATAATAGCTTTACTAGTTATTGTCATAAATTTCAGATTGTTGTTTATTAGATGCATAAAAGGCTGATGTGCGTAAATGCTGTGGGGTAAGGAGACAAAACATAGGAAGGTTATGATCCTTACCCTCAATTAATGATTCAGACATGATAATTAAGTCAACAAATTGGTACAAACTACTCATTACCCTAAAGTTACAGTCAGTTCATTCAACAGGTACCTCATTGCTGATTATCTTGCTACAGTAACAAAATAACATAGGGTGTTGATTAAGGGTCTGTCTTATTCACAGATCATCTTGTATTTGCAATGGTAGAGACTGAACATCAGCAGTCATAGCAAACTATGCACTTGCATCTATTATTTATTAAAAGGCTACATTTACTATAAAATGTTTTAACAGTTTGTTTTTTCCTCTGGGAAGAATTCTCTTTGTCAGAAAGAATCATTACACATCCTTTTTTTTTTTAAGAATTATTTATTTATTTATACAAGCACTGGGCACAGTCAGAAGCGCAGGAGGGTGAGAGAATTCACCAGAGCCAGAGCGGGGACCAGAGCAGGCAGAGGGACTGAAGCACACTGCTGAGGGGAGCAGCGGGTGGCAGGAGAGGTCTGCACGCCATGCGGGACCCTCTTCCCGTGGCCGGGGAGCAGCTGGGGATCGAACCGGAGCCACTGAGGCCCCGGGCAGCCCCGCAATCCAGCGCTCAACTGCTGCGCCACACATCCTTTTCTGACAACGCTGTAGTCATATTAGTTTAGAGGTGTTGGTGTTATATACAGATGTTTCTTATAAGATATGAATTCCTGACATTTACCTTTGTGGACTTCATCTTATTCTCATATGTATGCATCTGTGATTTTTCACATGCCAGAATATTTGAAGTGATAGATTTCAGGTCTGTGTTAGAGACAAAATCACGTCAATATTTATATCTGCCCTTCCTCTCTTCATTTAGCTGGACCAGACCAATTTTGAGGAAAGGGTACAGACAGCGCCTGGAGTTATCAGACATATACCAAATCCATTCTGCTGATTCTGCGGACAATTTGTCTGAAAAATTGGAAAGGTATGTTCATGAACATTGCTTATTGGTTGAAGAGAAAATTTAATACTATTATTTAGAGAACAGAGAACCAACATATATTAGACAACTTAATTTTTAAAATGGCATACTTAAACAGGTACATCCTATTTTCTTGCCAAAATCTTGACCAATTAGGAATTGAACAGGTTTTTTTGGAAATATTTATTTATTCATGCATACAAGAACTGGGGTACAGGCCAGATGTGCGGAAGGGTGAGAGGATTCACCAGAGACAGAGCGGGGAACAGAACAGGCAGACTGACAAAATACACTGCTGAGGGGAGCAGCGGGAGAGGCAGGAGAGGTCTGCTGCACCGTGTGGTATTCTCGCTGGCCAGCCAGGTTCAAACACATGCTGCAGAGGCTGTCCGCCTGCGCCACCAGGCGAGGCCCAAGAATTGAACAATTCTTAATAACCATTTTCTTGGGGAATGAATTTTTTTATTGAAAAATACATATGTGAATTCAGGGAAGTTACCTGTCTTTAAATAACATTAAGTTCCCTAGATTTGATGACTAAAGTTAAGACTGAAATAGCATTTTTTAAAGTAAATTTTATATATTGGTTTTCAAAATCTTAATATGTGAATACAAATATAGATCTTAAGGAGTTTTAAGATAATGGCTATTGAATATCAAAGGAATGTAAAATCATATTTTTGAGTACATATTGAATGTCAAGCTTTGTATTTCCTTTCAGCCAATCTGAGAAGAGAGCATCATTATCTCCATCTTACAGAAAGCACTTGAGGTTCAGAGAAATGATGTAATTTGCTAGCTAGTGACAGAGGGAGCCATCTGCACCAACTCAAATCTGCACCACAGCCTGTCCCTCGGCCATTGTAAAGAAATTCTCAGGGTCTCCTTTTCTGAGAGCATTGGTTTGAACACTTTTGCTTGTAAGCGACTGAAACCCAATTAGCTGAAGTAAATAAAAAAGAGGAAAATTTTGATCCTGTATTCTGTGTGAAGGCCTACATAGAAAACTGACCTTGGGGACTCACTGGAGCCAGGGACTCAAATGCCACCTGGTGGCATTCACCTGGTGCTGGTTTTATTCTCTCAGACCAACTTCTTCCATGCAGGTGGTCCTGGGAACAGTTGCTCTTATCTTTCCAGAGCACAGAGGAAAAAGCCCTTCTCCTTGGTCAAATGTGAATAATTCTAGAGCTGCTTTAGTCACATGATCTCTCCTGGAACCAAGCACAGTCAATGAGTGAGCTAAACTTGGTCTTGTGTCAGCAGCACAGGGTCTGATGAGACAGGTGTTGGCCAAAAAAAAAAAAAAAAAGGGCAATAAAAAGTAGTCACAAAATTATTGCACAAAAATAAAACGTTGAGTAGACTTGCAATTTACCTTATTTTCATTAAAATCCTTTTCCTTTTTTTTTTTTAACAAATGTTGTCAAGGTAAAGTAAGATTTCAGCCTTACTTGTCTTGATATTTATTCAAAGAATTTGACTAGTGGGAGCAGCAAATTCATATTTCCCCTGGAAAGAACTAGTTCCTATTATTGAGCACTTTGTGTGAAAGTGCAATGAAAGAAGAGATATTTTGTTTTTGTTTTTTGGTGTAGTTTGTTTTTTATATGATTTATCTTCAAGTGCCTGGGATAGGGTCTGGAACACAATTTGTGTTCAGTAAATATTTGTAGAATGAATGAATGATTGTAGAAAAGTTAGCATTATGTAAAAACCTGTAGTTTTGCTGCACTGATAAAATATATTAACATAATACATTTTAGATATGTCAGCAAGTTCAATATAATATAATAGATATTGAATATCTAAGTTCTGAGTGGATGTTGCTGGAAATATTAATCAGAGTGTAGCACTAGGTTAATTAAAAGCTGTATGTCATATGTATTTTTTTGTGGCCAAGTAGAAGACATACACTTGAATTTGTAGGATTATCTGACCTAGCATTTTTTTCTGCTCAATTTTCATTACGTCCACCATTTCAATTCAATAAAAAAAGGTTTATTTTGTTCCAATTCAAGAACTCTGTGCAATCATAAGATCATGCATTTTATCATTATTATTCTTGTCTTTTTGGGTTATCTATTGTTTTACCCTGTTTCTTATTTCTTTTATTATAAAATTATCATTTGAATTTTTTGAAAGAAATTCACTTAGTACTTACAGTACTTTGTACTTTTGCACCCTTGGAAAGGGACCCTGACCTCAAATTTCCTAAGTGTCTTTAACAAAGGTCCTCTCATGTCATTACCCCTTGATTGAGGTACGTAGGTCCCTCTGTCTCATTTCCTGGCTGTGGGGTTGAATTCTCTGTTCCATGCTAGTGCAAAAAACACATTTTTATTTCATGGTTACAACAAAACTGCAAGCTTAATAAGCAGGCAACTTCTTCCCTTACAGTTTAACTCTTGGTATTTGTAATGCTCATTGTGCCTGTTCAGTGCTGCTTGAACCATACCGCCTACCCTGGCTACTGACTCTTGTCAGGCTACAGATTCTTCAAGTCCCATTCATTAAAAACAATTCTCCAAATCTGCCTTCTTCTCTGGTTGCTACCCTGTTATGATTATTTTTTTCCTTTAATAGCTAATGTTTCTCTGCTCTCCTGGACTGTACACATCTTTATCTCTCTTTTACATCTCAGTTTCATGAAATACAAATTCCATGAATTAACCAGGGTCACCAGATACCTCTTAATGTCACATGTAATGACATCTTCCTGTATGACTTGAAGGTGGAGCTCTTCTACCTTTTCTTTGGTTTATGTACCACCTTGCTTTCCTGCTTTTCTCATTTGATTTATTCTTCTTTTGAAGGAGAGGCTGAGTCTGCCTGTATATTTAGCTTCTTACCCTTTTGTGAATCACTGAATGGTATAGATGGGAAGTAACCTCCATATGTGTCAGTGAAACTGTGGGGAAGAATTTAGGGAGGTAGATAGAATGGATAGGATAAATATACATTATAGGTAGTAAGTTTTGAGGAAAGCCAATGTCCATGCACAACTTTCCCAAATCCCTGTTGTGTGTTCTGCCTTAACTTAGAACCAGTTTTAGTTATGGTAGATGGATAGTAATAAGCATAGTCATTGATGAAATGCAAACCATTATCTTGTTCTTGCCTGTGGTTCATGAACCTTTTCAGTCAAAAAATGTACAGTTAAAAGAAAATGAAGATGAGGGTAACATTTACAAATATATTTTATCCATTTGGGAAGAGAAAGTGTTTTTATTAACAGACTAGTGGCAAAAACTTAAAATAAGTGTAATTATCTGATGAAACTATAGTATTTGAAACAAAAATTTTATTTATATCTCAAAGTTTTCAGGGTATTTAATTTATATTCCTGCCAGAAAATGTAGAATTTTTATCATTTTAATTTACAAATGACTTTATTCCACATATGACTTTAATAACTAAAATGGAGTTTGGAGTTTGATGATATTTGTTTAAGATCCTTACATTTAAAAATAGCATCTAAAAACAAGTTTTTCTAATGTTCAATACAGAAACATTAACTTAATTTTTGTCTTGTTTTTTTTTTTTTGGTTTGATGGATACATTTTGTAAAGTCTACAGTTCTGAACAGGTAGAGATTAAATGTTATAGGAAATTTTAAACTATTTACTTATTTTTCACTGTGCTCTCAGCACACTATATAAGTCATTATTACAAAAGAGTCATACTTCATTTCTTTCACATTGCTTTTAAGAAGCTCATAACCTTTCTTTATCACATATAATGTGGCCTTTTCATGAAGTCAACTCTGAAGATGTATGGTAGAGCACTGGATTCTGCCAAATGCTTGACTGAGCATTGGTGTTCACAAGGTTTTGTCTCTTTAGTCATTTGGGTTAATCTCCTAAGATGTACTTGTGTGAATAAAACTATGTTAAGGGAAACAGAACAATTTGAATATTTGGACATACCACTTATTTTTCCCTCTTTATTCTTTTGCAGAGAATGGGACAGAGAGTTGGCTTCAAAGAAAAATCCGAAACTCATGAATGCCCTTCGTCGATGCTTTTTCTGGAGATTTATGTTCTATGGAATCTTATTATATCTGGGGGTAAGAATCTCATTTGTAAATTCATGATGGATGAAATAATTATGCTCATTTTTATGATGATGGAAGGATTAGGGTAATACGGTGTATAGTGATAAAGACTAATTCAATGCAAAATACAAAGAGACCAAAAAGCCTTTAGAAACAAGTAAAATTTCTTGGATCTAAGATGTTCTGAACACAAGTAGCAATTTACAATTTTAAATGGGGTTCAGTAAAATCAATTTATTAAAAAAATTTTCTGTTGTGACTCCAGGTCACATGATCTTATTAATACATGAGCTTGTCGGTGCCTTTACTCAACAGGGGAATGTCAGGAGACAAATTAGGCCAAATGCAGTCATTTAACTATGTGAATATTTGTAATTTGATATTATGACTTCTTACGTATATTTGTTTCAAAGAAAAATAACAAAAATTTTAAATATGGCAGTAAGGTACTCTTTTAGTATGTTTTCTCAATCTCCTATGTCTTTATCCATGTGAAAAGAGAGCCATGCCTGAAAACTCAAGCCTTTGTAGTGTTTTCATGAAGTCTGGGATGTTTTCCAGCTGCTGTGAAATGTGACTGTGATCTATTAGTTTTTATACCACTAGAGCATCATTTAAAAAATTTTAGCTGTAACTTGTGAGAGTTAATGACAAGGTGAAAATTTATTTAGTTGTATGCAATATTTGCTTTTGGATGTTAAGTACCACCTGGATGAATTTTTGTTGTTTTCATTTCATGCCTCTGTGACTGAGTGAAGTCACAGTGTCTCCCAAAGAGATGCCATACAAGTTGCATTGCTTTAAGAACCTGTAGTTAATGTCCACCAAGTAAAAACCATCTAAAAATTCTTCTTAACTAAGATGACTGTCTTTAGGTCTAGGGAAGCAATTCTGGCTTTTAAATCTATTTATATGTCTTTATGTCTCTCTGATATATTCATCTATTCCTATAGAAACCTGCAAGAGTTTGGGGTTGAAAATATTTTGCTGGTAAATATGAATAAGGTATCTGAAGAGTTATTTTAAAGTTATCTATAAGGGGATTTTCCTCAATAAAAGTACCCAGAGCTTTGGAAAACAATTTTATCTATAACTTCTGGTCCTACTTGACTTAATTAAAAAATATTTTGTTGGTTGCTTTAATGACTATATTTACTGCATTTAAATCAGTGTATGGAAGTGTGATTTCCTCTTGTAACATTTAAGAATGTGACATTCTGATTATATCATTGTTAGATTGAAGCCAATATTTCAAACATTTATTATGTCATGACTAAGACTGTGAAATGCAAAATTTTCCCTAATCATGTTCTCCATCACATGTTGCTTCCATTGATTAACATAAACACAACTGAGCAGAAGCTGGAAGAGAGGCATAATTAAGCCCCTTTTGAGCTGTGCCTGGCTTGTGGATTAATTTATTCCTGTAGATTCCACCAGCATAGAAGTTGCATGTGAGCAAAAATGCTCACCTAAATGTGAAAGTTTAGATGATGCCCAAATATGTTTACAAAATATATTTTTTGGTCTGGTGCACACAGACCAAAAAATGAACATGATACGGTTTAATATTTATTGAGTATCTAATGTGTTCCAGATTCAACATTAAGCCCTTGTTGCAGATTATTTTATTTGATTTTCCTTATAACTCCTTGGAGCAGACACTATTATCTCTAATATTCAGAGAAGGAAATTGAGATGCAGGGAAATTAAGTAACTTTCCCAAAGTCACGCATATGGTAAATTTGAGTGATTGCTGGATCTCTTTAGCTCCAAAGCCCATGACCTTTCCACTGTATCAGATTAAAATTGCTCTATAATTATATTTACAATGATTGTATTTAGGTACTCAACTGAATGATGGTTAGTAGTAACTGGTCTTTTGTCTCCTGAGTTTCTTTGCATCTTCTCAGCAGACACAGGTTAACAGACTCTTGAGGGCTGATGATTCTTCCAGGGTCATCTCAAGGTCACATCTGAAGAAAGTTAACAACAGGAAACAAGAATAGGAAACCAACTAGAATCGTCTCATTTCCTTATACTTGGGAAGGAAATGGGAAATCCCCCCATGAGACAATAGGGCTAAGGGCCAGACCTATAAACAAAACAAGGGGTAGGAGAATGGACTGGGTGTGAAGAAGGATAAACATTCTTAAACTTTTTAAGTTTAAAAATATCACAACAAAAGCAACCTTACATGATTTGCATTACTTACCCATGGATATGGGTGAAGGGAGATGTGTTCCCTAGATAGCCTGAACCCTGGACTACAGGTCTAGAGCTGACCCCACATTTGAGGGTTAAATGTATTACTGATAATCAACAGAATGTTGGTAAGGAAAAGTGATAGGGAAAACAGCTGAAATGTGCAGGATGAGACGGAATGGAGAGTAAAATTTATATTGGCAATGGCTCAAGTTTGGTGAGGCTATGGGTTTCTTACCCATGTCACAAAGGGGAGGTCTCACTGAGGCCAGGCAATTTTAAGTGATAAAAATGTTGAAAACTATAGCCTCAAAGAATTTGTATTATTTTGTAGTTCTTAAGATGATTGTAGCTTTCAAATAAGATTGTTCATGAATTCATAATCACTGGTGGATGGATACATGGGGGTCATTCTTGTTGATACTTTGGGAACTTTTTATGGTAGCTTTTATTTTTTTTAAGACAAGTGCAGCTTTTCAGGACATCTGCTCTCTGAACACCACTGTTTTTGTTCCTTATAGAAGAAAAGAGGAAACAGTCATTATAATACCTCTATCCTTTAAAAAAAAAACTTATCCTAATGTCTTAGTATTTATGGTATTCTTTCTGGGCATCCTTCATTGGTGTGTGTGTGTGTGGGGAGGGGGCAGATATATTGGTAAGTTTTAAATTCCATTAAATGAGCAGGAATTCTTGAAGGTACTTTAACACTTGGTAAAAGGTATACATTCAAAATGTTCTATAGATTCTTAGTCTCTCTAAATCAGGATAATTTTGATATAAGGAATGTTGGATGGTTTCAGAAAAAATATTTACTGTTGACCATGAAAGGTTAAGAAAAAGGAAATATCATCATGAAGGAGACTGTCTTTCTGTAATACTGATGCAATTATAAATCATATTAGCTATGGCCTTTCGTCATTAACTATGTATTTAGTTTTTCTCCATCTGACTCAGCAGCCAGATACAATACTGTCTTTTAACATTTATGAATGCCAGCAAAGAAGAGAAACTGGCTGTTGAAAACCTGAGTAAGAGTCAATTAAGGATAGTCCGAGGGAAGCCAAGTGGAGGGAGTTCTGTAAGCAGATTACTGAGAGAATATGGTTATCACAATACATTTGTTACGATAAGAAATTCACAAACATGCTCTGAAAAGTGTTCTTGATTCTTAGGCTGCACTGGGAATGTTTTCCATCATGAAATTGGCATACTTGGCAGTGCAACTTAGGTCAAACTACTTTTATTCATTAAATTCTAAGAAATTTATGGACATGAAAGAGAAGTTCTTATATTCTAAAGCTCTCATGTTCCATATTCTATATTGCAAAAAAAAAAAAAATATCTTTGTCTCTTATATTTCAACAAAGGAGTTGAATAGGTATTTGAATACAAGCTTTCTGGGAGAGTGGTTTGGGGGAATTCTGCACACAGACAGCCCCTGACCTCGATGCTTTGATTTGTGTCTCTCTTTTACATAACTGGCTACCTAAGGACAGCTATCTCCAGCAATATCCTTCTAGAGGCCTATCAGGTAGGATTCTCTTCTCCTCTTCCTCTCCCATCCTCCTTTCTCTTCATAACTAGCTGCTTCTCTGCTCCCAGCAGTGACTTGCATGCTGCACTGCCTAAGCTCACACTATATACTCAACTTCCTACTAGAAACTTCATCTGTAACGTAAAATACATGTGTACTTTCTACCCATATCATTCCATCCGTCCCCCCAGTTCCTACAATGGGAGGACCTGGAAGTTCTTGGCATTTACATTTCTTTGAAATATAAGGAATTTGTATTTTAGTCTTTAGAGTAACCAGTAGCTGCACCCCATATCAGATCATTTAATCAGCCTGGGATGGCAGATGGGATAACAGTAGCCTTGAAAAGTTCCCTGGTGATTCTGATTCAGATAGAAAAAAAAAATGGGCATTATCACTGAATGCCTATGACACTGGTAGAATCTAAGTGAGAATATTGGTGGGGTGGGGGTGGGGAGGAAGGTAACACATAGAAAGAACATTTTCATTTGATTTTATTCTTAGTGATAATACTGAAACAATTTAAAACATAGTGAAATGAATATTCACTCTCTTAATGACAGATAGTCTGACTCAGGAAGTTTCAAGTCAGACTTGAGATTCTGCATTTCTAAGAACGCTCGGGTGATAATGCTCTTTGCCTGAGAGTCACCTTTGTGTTGCCAGGTCTGACTGGGTCATGGAAGAAGAGAAAGTCTTAACAGTTGTTATAAGAGAAGTGGACAGACTCAGCAGAGCCAAGGAAACCCCGAATGAAAGTGACAGGAATCTCACTGAAACTGAAATGTGGAGAAGAGTTTATGGGAAAGTCCCAGTGTTAATTTTCTGTTTTCCTTCCTGCACCCTCCTCCAGGCCTCCCAAGAAGCAGATAACAGGGTGCATGGAGAGGGTCAAGATATAGCTAAGAGGCACATGCTTCTCTTCCAAGAATGCAGCAACTGTAAATGCTTTATCTTTTCTTGTAGAAGCATTGTTGTAAGGGTGACTAGGTTTCTACACTGATATTTGAACAGAAGTTTCTCTAAAGCATTATGTATGCTTTTGAGGGGTAACCTAGGTATTCAGCACCTTGTTCAGTAGAATTATCTCTCATTCGTACATGTGAAATATTGGGACTAAAATCAAATTGTAAATTAGGAATTGTCTGTAATCATGTACTTATGATTTAACCTGGATGAGGCCCAGTTCTCTCATTCCTTGTAGGAACATGATGCATCATTAGCTCTTGTAGCTAACCAGTATCCAGCAGTGACTAATGAATGTGATGTG